GTCGTGTGACATTTCACCCCCTAGTTTGCTTGTCTCGGTGCTGGCTGCTTCTTTGGTCTGAATGTCGTTAGTCATTCCTTATGCTAACCTTGAACGTGATTGGTTGTTTTTGTGTGACTTCTCACTTTCTAGTTCACTTGTTTTGGTGTTGACTGTTTCCTTGACCTGAAGTTTGACTTTGTCTTTGTGTGAATTTCTTCGTATGGATTGGTATATTTTGTCAATCTCTATGTGTGTATTGATTGCTGATTCATTTGAATACCAGGCCTCTAGGAATTCTCTGGCATTTTTGCAGTTCCCTTTGTCTAAGATTTGAACATTGTCCCAGTCGAATTGGTGCCCGTGGTTGTCTGCATATAGTGATATGAGGGAGTGTATGTCGTGTCTTTTGACAGCTAGTTTGTGTTCGCGAATGCGAAGACGAAGAGGGCGTCCACTTTGACCAATGTAATGTTTGTCGCAGTCGTTGCAACTTATCTTGTAGATGACGTTAGTTTTGTCTTCTTTTGCCGTTGAGTCCTTTGGTTTACATAGAACTGAGTGTAGTGACTTTGTTGGTTTATGAGCGACATCGATTCCAAAAGGTTTGAATAGTCTTGCAGTGATTTCGGAGATATCTTTTATATATGGTAGGACGACTTTCTTTGTGTTTTCTCTGGTGGCCTTTGATTTGGTTGGTTGAGCTGGGGGTAGACGTCTTTTGATGAAGTTTCGTGGGTATCTATTTCTTTGGAAGATGTCCATAAGATGATTTTCTTCAATTTTCCTCAAGGCGGGAGTGCTGCAATGAGTCCTGGCTCTCTTGAACAATGTACGTATGCAGCTAATTTTGTGTGATGTTGGGTTGTTACTGTTGTAATTGAGTATTTGATCCGTGTGCGTTGGTTTTCTGTATACTTGGGTTTCTAATTTTCCTGTAGTTGTTCGTTTGATTAGGACGTCTAAAAATGGGATTTTGTTTTCGTATTCTTGTTCTCTTGTGAATTTGATGTCGTTGAAGGTGTTGTTTATTATGTTGTGGGTATTGTCTAAGTTTTCTCTTTTGATTATCACGAATGTATCATCTATGTATCGTATCCAAATTTTCGGTTTGATCTTTGGCAGAATTATGTTTTCCAGTCTTTGCATGACGGCTTCCGCAATCAATCCTGATATGGGTGATCCCATAGGTGTCCCTTGAATTTGTTCATACACTTGGCCGTTGAATTGGAAATAAGTTGTGAGACACAAGTTTATGCATTCCATCCAACTTGAATGCTGCATTTTTGATTGTTGTATGTGTTCGTCGTTGTTGAGTAGTTGTTCCATGGTTTCTTTTGCTAGTTTTAGTCCAATCGAAGTATATAATGCCGTGACGTCGAAGGATACCATTATTTCTTGGCTGTCTATTTCAATGCCTTTGATTTTCTCTAAAAATTGGGTCGCAGATTGGATGGAGTGATCACATGATTTCGTCAAGTGTTTCAGTCTTCTGTATAGTTCTTTGGATAAATTGTATGTTGGGGTTCCTGGGAGTGATACGATTGGTCGTAGAGGTATATTTGGTTTGTGTATTTTTGGTCTGCCGTAGAATCGATGTATGACGGGTCCATTGGATTTCATTCGCCATTGATCTTCTTTTGTGATCTGACCCGTTTTGGTGAGTTTGCTTAGGGTTCTTTGGATGCGGTTGTTTAGTGTTTCGATGGGGTTTGTTGTTAGTTGTTGGTATATTGTTTGATCTCTGAGTAGTTCTTCCGCTTTTGCAGTGTATTCTTCTTTGTCCATGATTACTGTAGTCCTTCCTTTGTCAGCTGGTACTATAACGATATCTTTCCTGTTTTTCAGTCTTTTGAGGGCTTTTTGTTCTTGTGAGTTGAGTTGTGTGTGTCGTTTTCTTTGTTTAACTTTAGGCACTATTGTTTGACGTATCTCTTCTTGTGTTTCTTCGCTTAATTTTGATGATTTGAGTGTTGATTCAAGAGCAGCGAAGAAGTCTGTTTTCGAGGCGTCTTCAGTGTTGTAGTTTAATCCTTTTTGAAGTAGTTGTTGTTCTATTTTTGACAGCGGTTGTTTTGATAAATTGACTACGCAATCAATTGGTGTATTGTTCGGCTGTTGTTTTTTGATTTTGGTTAGCCGAGTTCACTGTAAATGAATTAATTGGCGTGTCATACTGAATTTGAGAAACTTTGTTGAATGCATTCTCGTCCCATTCTTTAATATTTTTGACTAAGTGCCTATTGTAACTATTTCGAATGATTGGAATGGTAAGCTGACGTTAAATTTACTGGTAATCACATACCACTAGTGTCAGGTATCATGAAATATTGAATAATAATAATACTTTACTTTATGAATGCTCTACGGGATCAAACTGAACTCTGGGACAACTTATCGCTTCTGGACACCAAAATACCTCTCAAACTAACTTCAGAGTCACCTCCGGAGTACGCAGAAATCTTACTAAAGGGTTAAAAAATAAATTACATCTGTTTCGATGGCAATGCTGCTCGCAAAACACAACCCCTCTGTGGATCAGTAGCCTGGTTGAGATGGCTTTAGGGATTGGAACTGGCTAGCTGGTTTCAACTTAGAACTTTGCACCTATGTGCAGCCGTTTGAGTCGCCACACTTCACTCAGCATACAAAGCAAGAGAACAAAGTAAACAGAAATGCAAAATAGAGACAGTAAACAGAGATATGAGGCAAAAAGAATGGTAATTTCGAAGAACAATATAGTTTTAGTGGGTATTATAAGTCACAAGGAGTGGATACATCTGCGCCACTGCGAACCATTTTGAGCTACATCACCGATTGTCTCCAGTCATCGGTGTTTACCGCCCCGAGGACACTAAACAGGAAGTCTACATCTTCCTACGTGCCTTAAACAAACTGTTGTGGATACCATTGACTAATGAAGCCATGTTTTCATTTGACCATCACTGCTTCTTTTCCAACCTGACGCTATATCAGCTAACACTGCCCATTCAGGAAAGCGATGACTATGCAGACGTGCGTGACATATGTCCCAACCATCTCAGTCGATGTAACTCCACAACCTCGTCTGTTGATTTCCCCTCCTTACCTAGCACTCGACCGACGCCTAACCTCAGTATTACTCACTCTATTATACCATTTCACACGGGAGATAGAACGCAGACACCTATGATCAAAGACAGATATCCAGGCTTTTCATGTCTTCCACTTTCAATGACCAAGTCTCACAGCCATAAAGGAGGATGGAGCGGACTGCCTAGAAGTGCAAACGCCCTTTGGTCGACAACCAGCTGGATATTACGTCTCCACCTGAGGTGGTGTAAACCGCCATATGCGAAACGAGCCTTCTGTCTCCGTGTTGAGATTTCATCAACGATCAATCCTTTGGCACTGGCTGATGCAACTTCCCAAATAAGTGAAGTGGTCAACACGTTCCACCAACCACTTCACTCCCTATTTCTAAGCTACGGGATTGGAACAATGGGTGTTGAGTTTGAGTTAAAGTTGGAACGCCGTCATTCAATAAGAATACAGGTACATTCAGCTAAGGAGTCCCAAATTTGACGAAAAGAACATCCTAGAATTGACTATTAGTTATTTTCAACTAAATAAAATCATGTTGTTACCAAGGCATCATCGAAGCTCTACGTACTAGAAGCCATCACTGTCAACGGAAACCTATGATTTGAACCCGACATATTTAAATATATATACTACTCACTGAAATACTTATATACTGATTAATACACATAATAAACTACCATCATTATGTATATGTTAGCAGTATTCATTACCTTATCTGAGAAATCAGGTAAGTCTAAAATTGTCAAATTCTTGCAGACATGATGTTCTTCAAAGATAAGTGAATAATTCTCGGTTTCAATCGATGGTAGATGACCTTCAGCTATAAGACGATAAGGTATCCCATGAGGATAAACGTTCATATCACGATCAGTTATTTCAATTGTTAATTCCTAAACAAAAAAAATGTAATCAGAAATTAATTAAAAGTAAACTTATTATTACTGTTATTGTTATTGTGGAACGTGTTGAGTAGAAATCCTTTAAGATATAAAATTGATTTTGTAGTGTTGCTTTGCAAGGAATCGATTCCTTTCAAGATTGAACACTTGAAAAGTGATCAGGTGCTAACTAGTGACTGACTTCAGGGTCGTGGATTAGGTGAGTCCATGAAGTTTAGTGTGAGGGCAAATACTAGCCAATGACACTTGTTGGCGATCGCCCTATATAGCGAATTAGCAGAATTCATGAAACATCCGGTTCCCTTTCAGTGGCTGTATGATGTATCAACGAGTTTGCCTAGTGAACCATAGGTCCAGGGTTCGACGCGTGGTGGGGTAATGGGCGCGTACTGCTGAAAAACCTGTAGACTACTCCTTGCTTCTTAATGGTTCTCTAGTTGAGGTCAGTTCGTTATCCGTCTGGATATAAAATTAATCTACTGGAGTTTCGTGGAATAACTCACAACCTGAAGGCATATATTACTCATCATATCTTGCTGAAAGGTTGGCATTTTCGATTATAATTGTGAAGGTATTTCTTGTGAAATAATGAATTCTAGGATTCTTAGAGTTGTACGACAGTTTCTATGTTTTCAAGAAGAAGGAACATTAACCAAAGGCTTATTGTATTTAAGGTTGTTCTGAAATTAACAAACACAAGCCAACAGTTTAAATCAGTATTCCCCTTCCATATAAAGCAGAGGCGTTTCCAAAGCCTTCAGATTTCACTGTGATTTCATTCTCATATGTTGGCTGGTTGATATTATTCCAGTTTGCTGCTATTTGATCGTTGGAGGCAATCGGCAGGAAGCTTCCGACCTAGATTGTGTGCTAATTGGCACTCACTAAGTCAGCAAGGCATATTTGCAACCTTGAGAAAACCTATGTTTCCATTTGGGATTCGAACCCATGTCACCCAGAGCTGTAGTCAGAGACCTTACGACTAAGCTATCCTTGATCGCGTTTGACCTCCTGTAGGACTGTATTGGACACTAGTTAATGGCTAGTGTAATGTGTCTAGTCTTTTGTTTTGATTCAGACTGAATTCTACCCGTAATGTGGCCACCATACTAGGTAGCTCACCATCAGGGTGGACTATGAACTGTTCATATCAAATGGTTGGAGTCAATTAGCAAGAAGCCCTGGACCTACGTTTCATGTTTCTATACAGTCGACAGCAAGGTATATCTGCATGACACACCTGCAGTCTGCACCAAACAAAGGGCTAGACACATGACAGCAGTTAATTAGTGTCCAGTGAAACATTATTTCAATAAATTGATCGTCTTATTAACAGTCAGGCAGTTCTCATCTTCCAAACAGGTGTTGCTGTATATTATCAATGTATTATATCACCATGCATTAGACATTCAGGTAATTACCTTCAAAATTCTGCCCCAGCCTTAATAATATAATCTGCTGAGAAATTAGTTCTCGAAAACATTGTGTAAGTCTCTTTCTGTTCAATGAGGGTGAGAAGAAAGTCTGACCCCCGGTAGGATTTGAGCCAGAAGCAGTCAGATTACTTATCTGACATTAAGCCATCTGAACTACAGGAAATATCTGCCAACCAGGTTATTAGACTACTGAAACTATTCCATTTCAATTACCACTAATACAATAATATCAGTTCCCTAGTTCAAGACTATTTCATACAATCTCTAAAACACAAAATAATTGAGCAAAGAATAGCCTTTTCGATAATTTCGTCCTCTTCTGGCTCTACAATTACACATGTATGTTTATATACATAGAATATTCTAGAATAGTAGCCAATAACAATATTAGTGATTTTTTAAATAACATCGATTTGTAAAGTAAGATCACGATGGAATTATAGTTCATTAAAGATGCTTAAATTATAATAATAATAAAAATTTAATAGCAAATAGAATATCAACCAAAATTAGGAAAATTCCACAAAAATTCAGGATCATTCAAACCCAGATGGCCAAAGTGAGGATAATGTCTGAACTAGCTTCTTTTGGATTCACAAATTAGGCTTCTTAATATGGATCCCAACAGCCTCAGCAATATTTAGTAAACGAACTCTTAAGGCGAATTTAAGATTATTTGGTATGCGGTAAATGACTTTGAAAGCTGCCTCGTTGACATCAATCTTGTGTTCTGTATCCACAAGATGAGATAGATAGCGCTACGAATAGATTTTGTTTGTCCTTTACTTAACCACTATGCAGAGTGATGTTCGGAAATTCGACAAGAAACACGCCTAATTGTACAATCTCATCAAGCATTCATTACATTTTTTAAAAAAGTATTTATTTATAATATTAAAACTGTTCAAAAGAAATAACTTACTTCTTCACACAGGTCCTGTGAATTAGCTAAACAATCAACCGTGATAATTTGTGCATTCCCCGGTGGGATAAGACCACTTGCAGGACTTAATGTAAAGAAACCTTGTTGTAATCGTGCTTGTGGAGTGCTCAGCATTGTTGGATCTGACCTAAACAGCATTTATTGAATACAAAAATAAAACAGTGACGAATATCGAAGTAGTGATTTATCTGTTTTTGAAGATACTTCAGAAGATCACAGGGACATAGAAATAAGGAAGCAATAAGCTGCAAGCATTGCAATTAATTTTATAAGAGCATTATGTTAGTGCGCAAAAGAACTTAAATGAAAATGTAAGCAAGGGGAAGGTATTTATTTCGCGACTATACATGGCAAAAGCTACTTTTATTTGTCTTAGAATCATATCTCCTTGAAAGAACACATCACCGGAAATTACGTCAAGGTAGACAAACAAACAGCCAAACAGCATAGAAACTTGCGTCAGTTCAGGTTGTCACAGTCTGTCTATATAGGCATACAGAATTACGGCACTCCTTTCTAAGAAAAGATTCACACATGTTTAAGACTTGGCCACTGTGGTAGTATGCAATTCCAAATCACAAACAGTGAAAAAGTATTATTTACTGGATGACAGCGTGTCGAACACAGCTTATTGCGGTTCGAAATCATATAAAATATAAATACACAACTTCGGAACTTCCCTTTAGTGGTTTTCTTCATCCTTTTCGATTCGTTGTAAGGGTAGTGGAATTTTCTAGTTATCTAGGTGGACAGGTTTCGAATAATTTCTGTCACACTTATTTCAAATTCATTCGATAAATAAAGCCTCCGTTATCATTCTCTCCCTCTACCCTGTTACATTAGGTTTTAAAACTGTCATCCTATCCAATCATAAGGTATAGTTGTATGTGTGTTTGACTGCATGTAGTGCTATTGCTATCTTATTAGGGTCAACCAATCAGTGCCCGACAGGTAAATTCTATTTTTCGTCTGTCTCTTCATTAGTATTATTTTGTCTTTACAGTTTTAATATTTAACATTTTCAACTTTCCTGTTCTCTACCCCACCCGATTTAATTTCTACACATCACTACCACTGTTACTGACTTGACCAACGCTCAATTTCTAGTCATTTATGTTACGTCATCCAACTTATTTGCTCAATTTATAATAATGCTTTTCACTTCTACTTAGTCTCTACCTGTAATTACCTGTGTTCTCCCCTATCTATGTCAATTATATTACGTTGTCTAACCTACTAACTCAATCTTACTTTAGTTGCTGTCTAATTATTCTTGTATTACCTGATTAATTATCTAAACTTGACAAACTTCATGTACACACACACAAAATAATTATTTATAAATGTGATTTTACAGCTATGTGAATGAATTCGCCGAAAAGAGTCCCTTCTCTGAACGTCTCCTCTTTCTCAATCTAGATTTTGGCTAGGTTTTTATGATCTGCTAGTCTAACTGCCCTTGTTCTGCTACTCTGGTCTGCTTATTTGACCTGATAATCATTGCAAGCGGTGTATTAGATAAACTAAATTGTCTTGTTTAATTGTTCTCTACAGGATTCTGTAACCGATAAAGCTTGCTTCTATTTGAGTTTGTGGTTTTTTAATGTCAGCCTCTTTTACTCCCGTATTGTTAAGAATTCTCCGTAAGGTTTCCAAGGTTCTTTCTTTGTATGGAAGTACCATCAATGATTTAAATTCCTCATTCTTGGTGGTGTCATTATCCTGTGCATATTTGTTGTGCATGTCGACATTAATATTATCACTATTAATACCGTTATTATTATCAGTTGTATTGTTACATTTTACTTTCTGATTAACTTATCAGAGTAATTATTAAGTTTGAAAGCTTCTCTTATATGATTCACTTGCTGCCTTAGATTTTTCCTTGGTACTATTTATATTATTTTCACTGACATAAGGTGGGATGATCGGAAATCCAATATTGGTTTGAATGTATGGGTTTCCTATAAACACCAGTGTTTAACTTACCACCTTCTTTCCTTTTTATACGACAATGTAACACTGACAGGTCCCCTTCCTGACTTTCCAATTCATAAGAAAATTGAATTGACTCTACCTTCTAGTTGATGTGTTCGAAAATGTTTAGGGCGTATCCTAAAGTTACTGGAAGCCCTAGCCGGCAATTAGAAAGTTTAAACCATCTTTATGCGTTCCAAGCAACAACTCGTCATCACATTAAACATGTCTTGGTAAACTTTGTTTTGATACCAGCCAGGGTAGATGTACTATTTATTACCTCTGTCATTTGTTTTAGTGATCTTCACTGTTATTTTGACCCTCAATATGTCCTTTTCACTTGACTTAAGTCTGTTTTCTCACCTCTTAACTCCGTGTGTGATCAGATTGTTATGAATGTGTAAATGCACAAATACATTACACGAGTGAGAGATAAATTACGTCTTCTTATTGCTTTGTCTATATAAACCTCTGTCATGTTAATTTCGATGAATTTCCCTGAAGAAGTTTGGACCAGATTGCCGAACGAAACGTTGGAATTAATCATTTTAGTTTCGCTGAAATTTTACAAATATAATTTTTACAAATGTCTACTTCTCACTTGGCGCCCAATTATTTTGGAACTATTCAGTCAAATCTTGATCACAGTTCATATGAATATATATATATATACTGTTACCAGTACTACTATTCCTGCTGTCTCTGTGTACCATGACTTTGTTAAGAAGTATGGTTTTAATAGAACAAATCGTGGAAAATATCCATTGGGACATTAGATTGAAAAGAACAAGAAATTCAAACAAAAATTTTGAAGCAATAGAGGAAAAATGCAGAAGTAGCAGTGATTGAGCATGCAAAGCGAATTTTTAGGCAAGCAATGGACACTCCTACTTGGTATTGTAGAATAAGAATGAAAAAAGAGTTCATGAATTCACAAATAAAACTCATTCAAAAACATGAATATTTTTATTAGACGGTTGGAGGCAATCGGCAGGAAGCCTTGGACCTAGGTTTCGTGCTAGTTGGCACTCATCAGCAAGGCGTATCTGCAACCTTGAAGGAACCCATGTCCCTTCTGAGATTCGAACCCACGTCACCCAGTGCTACAGTCAGAGACGTTACCACTGAGCAATTTGGGCTCGCGATTAACTTCTAGTAGGACTGTAGTGGGTACTTTGATTGGACACTAGTAACTAGTGTCAAATCAAAATATGAATATTTTTAGCTAATAATATGGTCAACTTTCTTTACCACAATAAATGTATTCATCCCATCTTCTACATCGTGATCTTATCACCTTCTACATGGTTACATTGCAACATGAATTCACTTATTTGTGTACAAGTTTCTACTCTATTGTTTTCATCAGACAGTTAGTTTCATGGTTGCGAAACTTTCCTGTGAAAGATTTTATGATGTTCAGTAGTGGTATGACTTAGGGTCTGTTTCATCATTTATCTCTATTGAAGCCTTTTTTCCTAAAAGCTCAATTATTCAGTAATTACATTATTAGAACAAGACATATAAGCGAACAATACTGTTTTCAATTAGATCTTCTTCAGGCTTTACTCTAATTTAATTTGTGAGTGGTAACTAGCAGTGGAATCCAGGACAACACGCATTTCGTCCTATTTGGGACTCATCACTGGATGTACCTGCATTTCCCATTGAGTGATGATGTACCCACCGAGGCTCGAACCCAGTTCCCATAGTTTCAAACGCCAAAGCGTTATCCATTAAACCACTAAGGCCATGGGTCATATTAATTTAATTTAATTTACTCTAATTTACACAGACTTATGTATAAAACTTTTAACCAATGACAGTGATTTTAGGGATCAAATAATAGTGATAATAATAATGTGTTAAATGTTTTGAATGTTATTAATAACGATTATTATAATGATAAGAAAAATAAAAATGATACTAAGGTTTATGCAGGTGGCGATAAGAATATGAAGCTAGTAATATGTGTATATGTAGATAATTCAATAAATAAGTAATTAGGTGAAATCCTAAAAGTTACATAATAGTAAAGGTGAAGTGGACAGAAAGATGATCAGAGTTTAAATAATTATCATAAAAGTACGAAGGAAATGAAAAATAAGAAAGGGTGGGGGATTTTTGATTATAATTTACCTAGGCCAAGGGAGAGACAAAAGTAGAACGAACTTCTTTTGTATGCAAAGACTAGGATTGTTCTCTCGAATTCACTCCCATAGCTTCGGATAGGTGTATGAGACGGGTTTTAATTCCGTTCGAAAGGCTCGATGGAATGCGATAGATAACTTTGAAGGCACTATTTTTGTCCACTTGACGACCGCGATCAATCAAATGAGTCAAAATAGAACTTCTTATAGATTTTATTTGACCTTTTCCAAACCATGAAGGAAGATGCTCATAAAGCTGTCTAGTTGTTCACCCTATATAGCTCTCTCCACAGGAGCAACTAAATTTGTAGATACACATATAAATGACACAGCTGGGTAGCTTGTCTTTCACTTGAGCAATCATAATTAGTCGGCTGGAAAATAACAAACAAAGGGTGGCGGCAGTATAAATCCATTTTATTGCTCTTGATAATCTTAGATGTAAGACTTCACCAGCCACATCCCCATTAAATTGCTATTTTAGGAACAGTTGTTTCTTTTTAACTGTTGTCAGTGTCTCTTTATTGTATCTGGCGTTCATGTATCTCCTTACAAATCCACTAGGATAACCCATTTGGACCAGTGTATTTTGGATGTATCCTAACTCGTTTTCTAGGAAGTCATCTGTACAGACACGTCTTGCTCTATTCGTGAGGCATCTGACCAAAGTGATTTTTTATTGGATTGACACAAAGCTGAGGAAGTTTGTGTATTGTAAGGAGACAAATGAACACCAGAAACAATAAAGAGAAGCTGAGAACAGTTAGAAAGAAACAACAGTTCATGAAATTTCAATTTACTGAGGTGTCATAAAGTCCCTTGATATTTCTCTATTGGGATTCCGTCTGGTCCGCCTCATATTTTGAACACTCGCATAGATACAGTTGTTTTGTGTTATTTTAGGAAACGTCCACCTAGAAATGAAGTTTGAATTAAAGAGTCTCGAAAAAAGATAAGCTATAGCTATGAATGTTATACACAGAGGACATGAGATCGATTTCAACAATGTCAAAATTCTAGGGAGAGGCTTTCATTCAACACATAAAGAAAGGTTGATCCCTGAAGCCCTGCATATTTTAACCACATCAAATGCAATGAATAGGAGAGAAGGGGTAGACTCATCACCTGTATGGCAAACTCTAATGAAGCAAAACAGATGAGAGAAAATACAAAAATATTCAAACGTCTATAAAAATATTATCGTGTTTTCACGTGTTTTACATATAAATAACAATATACACACATACTCATACAGATAAATGCTCAAATTTGACAATTTGACATTATCGAGTGTTGGTTTTGTAAGGATTTTTTGTTTTGTTTGATTGGTCGGAGGGTTTCATCATGAACTGACATCAGTTAGAGAACCATTGGAGAACCATCTGGGAGTACTGGACAGCTGTTTAGTCCTATTTTGGGACTCTTCATCGGTACACACCCACCGGGGCTCGAACCCAGGACCTCCTAGTTAGAAGGCGAGCGAGCTCGTGGACCATTTAGCCACTGGGACCCGATCCAGTGGCCAACCCATGGATTCTAACTTCTGCAAATTCATGACATAGTGCAACCACTTCGGAATGTCTTCGTCAATGAGTTACTGCCTCATCTTCAGCCTGCTGTACGTCTTGAAATCAAAAGGTCCTGGGTTCGAACCCCACTTGTTGGGTGCGTACTGTGAATAGTCCCAAACTAGTGGGACGAAACAGCTGTCCAGTACTCCCAGCTGGTTTTCCAGTGGTTTTCTAACTGACTTCAGCTCATAATGAAATCCTCCGACCAATCTAACATTAGTCATTACAAATATATAATGACTGTTTACATTTTTCTGTTGGTACAAATGTCTACCAACAAGTGAACTTTAAAGCGATTCAATTTATGTAATTTTTGACCATATATTTTGATGTGATTTTGGTGGGTGGTGGCTAGCAATGGATTCCACGATGCGCATTTCGTCCTATTTAGGACTCATCATCCGGATGTACCTGCATTCTCCAGTGGTTGATGGTGTTCCCTCTGAGGCTCGTACCCAGCAATAAATCAACAGGAAATTCCAAATTGAATTAAGTAATATATATTTTGATGGTTAATAAAATCCGAATAATTCTGCTTAAGAAGCTATGGCTTACATAGCGAAACGTTATGAAAAGTCTTGTTTTAATTTTTCTTAAACACACCGCGATTATTTTAAGTTTAACCCAACTCATGCAATGTACAATCTTTGATGTAATTTTAGGGAAAAGTGTGTATGTGTGTGACCTGAAAGAATCCACTGAAAGTAACACCTAAGTAATGCAAACTTTGAGCAGATTAATTAGCCATAAGAACATTGAAAAAGTACATTGAAAGCTCATTTAATATTTATTTATGCATGCACCTAAGTTTTATTACTTGATAACATGCTAAACATATAAAATAGCGTGTCATGCAGCTTTAAAAGTTGTCTCAGTTATATAAAGCGGATGCAAAATGAGAAAATAAAGTGCTCAATTTATAAAGTGAAATGTTTACTTATTGATGAGCAGTGATGAGTAGTGTAGATAAAATTATTTTGAAAAAAAATATATACTTAAGGCATACCTTTTACTTTTACGATATTGTCTATGAATAATGAAGATATATACATATACACATATAAAATCACTAAGAGTCGTTTAATATAAAAACATATATATTACATCAGTGTTATTATAGTGACCATGTTTAATTCCCTTACCAAACTATCTAACATCTCTTCGTAAGGTAGGCCAAGTAATATCAGCAGAGATGAACCTTTATGATTACTACTAGTGTAGTGATGATCGAAGGTAAAATGCAGTTCTAGTTCGCAAGAGGGATCGAACTAACGGCCTTCAAACTACTAGGTCAAATGGCCTATCAGCTGAGCTATAACACCTTAGCACTATTATTACTTTTTTTTACGGGTTGATCACGGACTGATATCAGCTAGAGAACCATTGAAAACCAGGGAGTACTGGACAGCTGCTGTTTCATCCTAGTTTGGGAATCATCGGCAGTACGCATCCACTGGGATTCGAACCCAGGACCTTCCGGTTACAAGGCAAGCTCGTATACCAGTGGCTGAATGGTATAGGAGCTTGCCTTGTAACCGGAAGGTCCTGGGTTCGAATCCCAGTGGGTGCGTACTGCCGATGATTCCCATACTAGGATGAAACAACAGCTGTTCAGTACTCCCTGGTTTTCAATGGTTCTCTAGCTGATATCAGTCCGTGATCAACTCGTAAAACATAACTAATCCTTACAAACCAAAACTATGGAAACACTATTATTACTGTTATTATTATTACTGTCATTGATTGAACAACAATGTTTATCTCAGCCTACTACATTTGATATGGAATTTACTTACTAAATTATTTTAACTATGCAGTACAAAAGGGTCCCAGTGGCTGAATAGTCTACGAGCTTGCCTTGTAACCGAAAGGTCCTGGGCTCGAAACCCGGCGGATGCGTTTGACCGATTAGTCACAAACTGGAGCAAGACAGCCACCTGACCTTTTTTGGTACACTGAGGGGGAGGGTTCTCGAGCAGTTGAGCTACAGGATGATACTGCATGCAGGATGCATGGGTAGGTGTTTTCAGATCTCCTGAAAACCAGTACCCAGTCAATGGGTGTACCATTATGTGAATAAAGTGCGTAGGTGGCAAAGAGGTAGAATGCCCTTCAACGATGCCTCATGTGGTCCGGAGTACGATCTCTGGCCACTGACGCACTCTGAACCTCGCTAAACCAGTAATAAGACTGGTAAAGAGGGAAGGTTGGGCATAAGGCTAGCTACCCCATCCCGTAAAATTAAACACCACTACTACGGAAACTTCAAGCCTCTAGCTTGAAGCCCTATGTTCCACTGGGAACGTACAGGAATAAAACAAATGCGGTAAAAATGTGAACAGACAGTGATATTACCTGTAGATCGACCCAGGAGACTGTTACCGGTATGAACCTAACTGCTCCAATAGCTAATCACGAAGCTATTCACAATAAAAACAATCCCACTAACAGAAAACAAAGAAGACAAGGCGGGGCACTGACAAGAGAGCTTTGTTGTCTCCAACATCACTGGAGATGATCCTGGCGAATACTAAATTTAAGGGTAATTTTAAAGAGTTAGTGACCAATGAAAGCGAAGACTTCAGGAAGATTGAGACATATAACAGGCAGCATGATTAGACGAAAGTTTTATAATGTATTTATTATAAGGTTATCAGACGGCAATACCAAGGACATTGAACACCAAAGTGTTGACGAGGGGTGGAGTCAGCTGTGCGGTTCAAATGCCAGAAGAAGTGGAACCGTATCGGCTTTATCCTGCATGCTATATGGAATTTTGTATGTGAGTCACGGTGCAAGTTGAAACATCAGTTCAATGTTACTGAGGTAAACAAGACTCGTAAGGCGAAGAGCAATGCCTACTGTGATCAAAATACAACTTACATTGAAATCATAAGCCTCACATTATGATCTCGCAATTTGCAAGTTATAACAATAATTTCGACAAAGCAATTAGAAGACTTTTCAGTCGGATTGTTCCAAAATTAATAATGTTTTATCAGAAATTAAGTCAGTAAGCTAAATTCTTCCAAATGTCAAGTTATTAATTTCAATTTCAAACGCAAGCGCAACTCACACGAACTACTTCGTTCTCACAGTTCCACTATCATAGATGGCACGGAAGTTAAAACTAAATCGAATGCTAAATGCCTTGAACTGTATACTTCCTCCGATCTTTCCTGGTCTTCCCACATGAGTTTTCGGAAAGATATTTCGTTTGACTTTCTAGTTAAGTAAGTTAAGACAATTTCGTGTCATTCCGTTTCTACTGTTAGCCTTTATTAATTATTGTATTCCGCCTTCTTTACTTCTTCCCTTTAATCTTTCTTGGGCTGCTTAAGAAAGACTTTGTTTTACTGTGAAGGACATTAAAAGCAGTCATTGCGGTGAGTGGGGCATCGCTAAACCAACTCCTGTAAGAAATTAACAAATATCAGTTTGTCAGACACTGAGCATCCTGACCATACACAATTCTCTCCTTGCTGCATCTCATCAGATAGGGGAACTAGAAGCAACTATCGAAGACTACGTGCTAAGTACAAAAACTCTACAACACCCTATTCAGCACATATTTCATGTCTTGAGAAAAGAGCAAGACAGAACTTCACCAACTTACTGCGGAACTCTAAGTAAACTGCTCTACTTTAATTTTTCATTGTTATATTGTTGTTAATATTTTCACTTAATTTAATTTTAAATTCATAACTTTATTGAACAACATTATCAATGTAAGCGCGCTGTTTTAATTATTACCCTTGTAATGAGAAAGTTAGATGCCATATTGTACCACATTTTTAAATCCTTTACGTTCCCAGTGAAACATAGGGCTTCAAGCTAGAGGCTTGAAGTTTCCGTAGCATTGGTGTTTACATTTACGGGATAAGGTTGCTAGCTCCATGCCCAACCTTCCCTCTTCACCAGTTTTATTACTGGCTTAGCGAGGTAAAGGAGTGCTTCGGTGGCCGGGGATCGAAGTCCGGACCACATAAGGCGTGGTTGATGAGCATTCTACCGCTGTGCCACCTATGCATACTGCACCACTCCATGCTGAAAATTCCATGTTTGTACCAAAAACTACTATTTGGAATAAAACTATTATTATTATCAATATTACAAATGGATTGACTTACATTTTATGCTTTCCTCCTCCTACAGTTTCTTTATTCATATGTGCTTCACGTGCTGTCATTAACTCAAACATTCTACTCATACGTATTATTGAGAAGCGAAATTCATAATCTCCATTATTTTCAATGATCAACTGACGAGATTTATGATTATTCAGTATTAATGATCCAAAATTTATATCTTTAGCTGGAGAAATTGTAAATCTGGAAAAAAAGGATATTTTAAAATAGGAAATATATTCACCAGTTTCCCAAAAAGTTGGTGATCTTTAAATGAGTAGATTCGAAGGTAACATCTCAAGCATACTCATACCTAAAATATGGTAAAGATATGTAGATGATACTTTTGTAGTGCTAAAACGAGATCTACACAGTTCATTCTTGGAGAAACTGAACAATCTATCACCCAGCATCCATCTTACCTCGGAATCATAACCAGAAGTCGGTGAACTACCATTTCTAGACTGCCCGGCTAGTTAAGGGGGGGGGGGACGGACATTTTAGTATATCCATATTCAGGAAGAAAACCCACTCCAACAAATATTTAGACTTCGGATCATCACACTTCATCAGCCCAAGTGTATCAAATGTCTTCTTAGACGAGTACACTCTTTGATGTTAACGGATGAGAAAGAAAAAGAAGAAGAAATGTCAAACATTACTGACACTCTAGAGCAAAACAGCTACTCAAAAAACTTCATCAACAAAATCAACACTGACATTAAGTGTGGTCGAAAACGTATTACGACGAATTGCGCCTCAACGTTTGTCATTCCATACCGAATCCCTAAAATTCTCTATCTATTTGAGTATATAAAATAAAATGCTTGGAACATGATGCGATATACATCGGACAAATATCGCTAGTGAGAAATCAAGATCAGAAGAAATAAACACCATAGAGCATCTGTTTGACTACCGAAAAATCCACTTGAACTAGGAAAGCTTGAAACATCATCAGCCAACCATAGATCTACATGCTGTAGAATCAGGCCACAAAATTGATAATCCAGAAAAATTTCAGAAATCACAAAGAACGTCTCACTTCATTAGAAGCACTTCATACAAAGTGGAATCCAAATTGCCTGAACAGAAATCATGCACCAAAATAGAATTCGACCTGGTTACAACACCTCCTTCCCGAATGAAATGGAAAAATCAACGCCAATGTAAACACACGCTGCTCAATCACTGAATCTTTGTTCATTGAGTCCACATCAAACAAATGCAATCAAAATGACGCACCGTTAGAAAGAATCCCTTTACTAAGTCACTAGTTTTCTTCTCATGCGTGTCTAGATGGGAACTGCGCGTGTTTTAAACGTAATGAGATTTAAAAAGGAAGTTAAAATAAGGACGAAATCAAATTCCGGGATATATAGATAACCTCATCTCGAATAACCTGATAAACTTTGATCTCGTTCTCTGAAATACGTCACAGATTTGGTAGATCCATTCTTATTTACACAAAAGATTTGTTTGCGAGTATTATTATTATTACTATTCGTCTCTTCGATTCCAAGTGCAGTATGGGGCTTCAGATGCACACTGCCATTTTACTCTGTTTTCTACTGTCGTTTCAGCTTGGTTTCACGACCGCCCATCTGCTCTCAGATTCTTTTCACAGTCGGACTGACGTCCAAGTCGTCACTTTCCACTCGTCGGCCTGATAGGTGTGTGATGCCACTCAACAGTCCCTTCAGCGTATGTCCAGTCCACCTCCATTTCTGACTTCATATTTGTTGAACGATAGGTTCTTGGTCGGTTTGCCGCATTACCAGAGCCCCTGTTGCTGATCCTCTCTGGCTGGTTATCTTATCTTCAGTATCAAGAAAAAGAGAGCTGTTGAAAAATTCTGCATAAGCTTATTGGAAATGCATGTGCCTGTGTCTTTGAAGCATACAGAAGCAATAACTTGAGATTAGTATTGCAAGTATGAATCTTATTTCTTGTACTGAATGCTATAGATTTCTACACAGCTTTCCTGACCGAATCCTAGCTTTGACCTCTTCGTCTGTGATGCCTATAAATGAGACAATATTGACCAGGTAAGAAGCCATGACAAGCGGCTTTAGATTACCATTATGTGAAATTGTGTTTTGAATATATTAAGTAAAATTGTAAATACAGGATGCCTACTAGTATAAGATGCACAGTATGCTACCTACTTGCTGAATACAGCTCTCACAGATACTTTAATTGGGATGGATGCAATCAGTTGTGGAGTTCCTTTAGCATTTGGTTCAACAATCTGGCATTTAATTAATTCAACTTCTCTTAAAATACATTCTGTTTGTGCACAACAGGTTAGCTGTATGGAAGAGAATAAAATTAAAATAAAAGTTCATGTTTACTAAACAAATGAAAATTTCAATACTCTGTGGTATAATTTAATAATTATTGTACGACTAATGAGTTATTGAAAACAGGCTACTGTTCTGAAAATTCAATATTTAATGGTAGTAAAAACTAATACAGAAAGCCAAAATGGAAGGGTCTTTGTAAAGCAGGAAAATCCTGATGCAGGTATCATCTTCATGAATTAAAAGCTTTGATCTGAGGAGACCAAGTCAAGTGCTTATTGTAAAATGTAAAAACATCAGAATAAAATAACCTTCCGAAGGGATTTGCACAGCTACCGAGAAATTACTGATTATGAATTTTAAATTTAAAGGTGATACTGTGATCAGTATTCTGATTTATCTCGGTTGAGCTACTTAAACACCGATCAAGTGATCAGAAAGATGCATGAGCAAGTGGGATCTCTGTCAGTGAACTAGCTAAGAGCCAACTACTCACAAAATATGAAGAAAGAAATGGATATGATTTGGACGGACTCTTAGACTACTGTCGGATGAAATCACACACCTAACCATTGAATAGAACTCGAGTGGGTAAAGAGAGACGAGTTGAGTATAAGTATGTGATATAGAGGAGATCATGTGAAGAGGAAGTGATCCCTAGGGTGATCGTGGAAGCAGGTGAAAAGGAAAGCAGAGAACAGAATAAAATGCAAACATGCAGCTGTGGCCCTATGTTTCACTAAAGAGATAAGGAATGATAAAGAAGAAGATTTTTCATAAAGGATATTTTTGTCTTACTGTCATGGAAGATTTTTAAACTGAAGAAAATACCATTTTGGCCGACTCAATAAAGTATCAACCAGTTTTAACTTAGCCTTAATTGGAAATTAAGTAATTAAGGTGCTGTCGGTATACTACTTATACATATGCAGACTTAAGATTGTTTCTTTCAATAGAGACTCCTCCTAAGGGATGCCTAAATGGCTAGCTTAAAGAGTGGTCGATTGAAAGAAACAGTCTCAAATCAAGTAATTCCTTAATAGAGAGAGTGCTTGTGCGAATTCCATTATGGGTAAATTTTATTTTGATAGAGTCTCACAGTGTTATACAGTAATATTTACTGATGACGTTTCGAGCACAATTTATTGCTCATAATCATATCAAAGTAATCACACGACTTCCTAAATTCATTTATATAGTTCCATTATTTTTCACTTGATTTCCACTTGATTTGATTGGTAGTGTTATTTTCCATATTTCGGGTATTAGTGGTGATTCATTCCTATTGCACGTGTTGGGTGTAGATTCGATGAACAAAGATTCAGTAATCAACCTCTCTCTCCACCTACCTAGATTACTTTTTAGAATTTTAACCCTCTCCCACCCTATTGTGTGGTTGTGTGTTAATGCATGCATTGCAATTGCCGAGCTTTTTTCTAAATTACTTATCTTTTCTGGGTCAACCATTCTTATCTTAGCTAAATTCTTATGTTCTGACAATCTGACTATTCCTGACCTACTAGTTTGACCTATGTAGTTGACCTCACAGTCATTGCAGGGTATTTTGTAAATTATATTATTTTGTCTAATTGGGTCAACCGATAGGGTCCTTCAACCTACAGAGCTTGTCCCTGAGTGAGTTTGTAGGTTTAAATGCCACCCTAATTCCTGCTTTATTTAGAATCCTACGTAGGGTCTCAGATGTCCCCTCTTTATATGGTATAACTGTCGATGACTTATATTCTCTCTTATTTATGTTATCATTACTAGTTCCATAATTATTTTTATTTTGTTTTTGGCCTTTAGTTATCTTCCTAATGAATTTTAAAGGATAATTATTCAACACCAACGCTTCTTCTATTTGTTTTATCTCGTCGTTTAGGTCAAAAAAAGACCTAAAACAAATAGAAGAAGCGTTGGTGTTGAATAATTATCCTTTAAAATTCATTAGGAAGATAACTAAAGGCCAAAAACAAAATAAAAATAATTATGGAACTAGTAATGATAACATAAATAAGAGAGAATATAAGTCATCGACAGTTATACCATATAAAGAGGGGACATCTGAGACCCTACGTAGGATTCTAAATAAAGCAGGAATTAGGGTGGCATTTAAACCTACAAACTCACTCAGGGACAAGCTCTGTAGGTTGAAGGACCCTATGGTTGACCCAATTAGACAAAATAATATAATTTACAAAATACCCTGCAATGACTGTGAGGTCAACTACATAGGTCAAACTAGTAGGTCAGGAATAGTCAGATTGTCAGAACATAAGAATTTAGCTAAGATAAGAATGGTTGACCCAGAAAAGATAAGTAATTTAGAAAAAAGCTCGGCAATTGCAATGCATGCATTAACACACAACCACACAATAGGGTGGGAGAGGGTTAAAATTCTAAAAAGTAATCTAGGTAGGTGGAGAGAGAGGTTGATTACTGAATCTTTGTTCATCGAATCTACACCCAACACGTGCAATAGGAATGAATCATCACTAATACCCGAAATATGGAAAATAACACTACCAATCAAATCAAGTGGAAATCAAGTGAAAAATAATGGAACTATATAAATGAATTTAGGAAGTCGTGTGATTACTTTGATATGATTATGAGCAATAAATTGTGCTCGAAACGTCATCAGTAAATATTACTGTATAACACTGTGAGACTCTATCAAAATAAAATTTACCCATAATGGAATTACACTCTACCACAGTGCCCAAGTTTTATTCTTATATCAATGATGCTTGTGCGAATTTGGGAAGATAATTTTGATAGTTAATAAACCTTTTTCTGCCATCTCAATTTTAAATCGAATGAATTAAATTCAGAATAGCATATCACTTACGTCTGTAAAAGAGGAAGGTTATTGTTTATTATCCCTAGATATATTGTTTAGCCAACGTTCTGATGGATCATTAAAACTATCTACTTATAGAAAATCTTATTGGACGGGATAATACCTTCATTATCAGTTTCTGCCCTGTTCGGTACAAAAGAGCTTTAGTAAGGTGCCTCTTCAGTAGAATGCAACGAATATGCATAGGAGACAAACTGGATAAGGAAGAAAGAAACTTGACACAAACTCTGGTTGATAATAATTATCATCCAGAGAAGTTTATACGGAGATATTTAGTGGTCAGAACACCAAGACCCACTCTTCAACTCGCTCCTAAGAAAGACGTGTACATCAAGCTACCTCATATGGGACATCATAGCAGCTTGATAACTAGACAAAGACTGAACGCTGCTGTTAAAAAGACTTTTTATGCAGCTAATATCATAATAATTGAGAATGTGAAGCCAGTATATCTATCTAAGCTCTTCGAACATGCGAAAAATGATGTTACATCCCACTGTGTTTACCAATTTGAATGTACATGTGAACACATATACACAGAGAGGACTCATAGATCTTTGGAAATAACGGCTTCACCGCATATTCCTAAATATCTTCTGAAGCAAATAGAATTTTCAGAACCTACGAATGGTGAGAACAGGAGACCCAGCTCCTCTATAGCGAAACACATATTAAAGAGACAGGACATAAATTTGATGTTTCCACACATCTTTTAAACCTATCTGTAAAATGTGTTTTGGGGCTTATCTTAAAGTTACTGGAAGCCCCAGTTGGCAATTAGAAAGTTTAAACCTCCTTTGTGCATTCAAAAACAATTCGTCATCACACTAAACCTTCCTTGGTAAACTTCGATTTGATACCAGCCAGGGTAGATGTACTATTTATTACCTCTCTTATTTGTTTGAGTGATCTTCATTGTTATTTTGACTTTCAGTATGTCCTTTTCACTTGACCTTAGTCTATTTTCTCACCTCTTAACTCTTTATTAATTTCAAATATATTCCTATGACAAGTCCTTGTGTGATCAGATTGTTACAAATGTGTAAATAAAACATTGCACGATTCAGATAAATTACGTCTTCTTATTGCTTTGTACAATTAGAGTTTTTATATAGGTTTAATATCTGCATGCAAGCCATTTGTAACAGGGTTCAAATATTTCATTGTATTAATTCAACATGTATTATTATTATTTCATTTAATTCCTAGAGGAACTTAGGGCTTCAACCGTGCATCTCCATTGCGTTCGGTTCTCTGCTAGAGTCTTCATCTGGCTCCAAGTCTGCCCACATGCTTTCATCTCTTCTTCACATCACCTCCTCCAAGTAACCCTTGGATGACCAACACACCGCTTCCCTTTCGGGTTCCACTCGAGCAATGGCTTGTCTAGTGATGTCACTTGATGGTTTCCTCAGAGTATGGCCAATCCATCTCCATTTCTTCCTGCCTATTTATTTCACAATCGGTTCCTGATTGGTTCGCTCCCAGAGATCCCTGTTGCTGATCTTTTCTGACCGACCATCTGATCTTGAGTGGTATTAAGCGAAGACAGCTGTTGATGAAGGTCTGTAGTTTGTTTGAGATGCTCTTTATGAAGCGCCAAGTCTCTGATCCGTATAGTAGCATTGACTTCACATAGGAGTTGAAAATCCGGATCTTATTTTCGATGCTGAGTGCTGTTGACCTCCACACAGAGTTGAGAAAAATGTAAGCTTGTCTTGCTTTCCCGATCCTCGCTTTGATATTCTCATCAGTTCCACCTGTAGTTGAAACGATTCTTCCCGGGTAGGTGGGTAGGTAGGTGAAGGAGGTTGCTTCTTTCAGATTCAGTTTCTCCCATTTATGCTGATTTCTGTCTGTTGTTGATGCCGTGGCTATTGCTGTTGGCCAGGAATCTTCATCACCACGTCTTTTTTCTCTATGTTCACTTAAAGGCCTATCTTCTCTGGATGCTTCTTCTGCCAACTTGTTGCTTTTCGCTTGCATATCTTCCAGTTTGTAGGAAATCAGACATATATCATCGGCGAAGTCCAGATCCTCCAAGTTTTTCGTGTGAGTCCATTTTATGCCTGTTTCCTCATTGCCCACTGTTTGTCGCATTATCCAGTCTACTACAATCAGGAAAATCATTGGCGATAGTAGGCAGCCAGTCAGCTTGTCTTACTCCCGTCTTTACTTCTTCGAAGGATTCCGTGAGTTTTCCGTTGTGGATTACTTGGGATGCAGCACTGTCGTATAACTGTTGGATGAGATGTATAATTGTTGGCGGCACCCCTGAGTAGCGAATTAGTTGCCAAATCACCTATCAATCGACGCTGTCTGCTGAAGGCCTTTTCAAAGTCGATGAAGTACCTCAACATGTGCTTATTATTTACTAGCCATGCAATGAATATTGAAAATTTTCTAATGTCTTATTATGTTAATAAGAACAATCTGCTAGGCAGTTCTTTTAACTTTAACGAACAGTATTCAGTCATTCATTATCTGTTTATGAAAGATCCTCGCCTCCCTTTTATGCTTGAGATACAAATTAATTATTAGATTAAATTAGTAATTGTAAACTTTAGTCAGATGATTATTGAATATGAAGTGTTAGGATTTGTACTAACACTTCTTTTGACGTTAAAAGCGCATAAATTAATACATTCAACTCACAACCACTTCTTATATTTTATATAGACTTACATTGATTTGAGCAGATTTATCTGTAGGCGATAGACTGATACGTTGTGGTGACATAGTAAATACGTCAGCGTAGTTTATTTTCATTGTGGCGTTTTTTGAAAATATGAAACTATTTTAGAAAAATGTGGAAATATTAGATGGATATAAGTGATGGATTTCTAAACAATTCTAGATGTGATTTTGCTACTTTTTGTGAAGGTATCCTCAAGATACAAAAATACAGAGGGACGTCTAGTTTGATAATGAACTTATAGTTACATTTTATGCATTCACATGACACAACGGTACTAGATTTTTGACCACGATCTGGCATCAGTCAGAGAATCATTGGAAAATCAGGGAGTACTGCACAGCTGTTTCGTCCCGGTCTCGGATTCTTCAGTTCTATGCGTCCAGTGGTATTTAAACTCAGGACTTTCCGATTACAAGTCTGGTAGGTGGGTACTTCTAAAGAGTCCCAAAAAAGGACGTGACAGCTGTTCAATCAGTGCTTAAAAGCATGGGTATTACTTATGGTAAACTGGATTAAATGAAGACCTGATGAGCGTCTGAGTATCACATCGCAGTTGGTAGATACTCGAATAGCAACGGAAGACGAAAAGAGACTTGGCAGGGTGATGTTCATTTGTAATTTGATATACATACATAGGGAGACTAGGCATAACGTATATTAAAATTGTCATTTGCACAGATCTTCCCTGTTGTACTACTTCTCCTCCTTCTTCTAATCTTTCCTTGTCTTCTTTCCATGTCTCCCTAGTTTTGGAGCCATACTGGTTCATTTCCTCTCTCTGACATCAGATCTATCTCTCTGCTATTTGATATTTTTGTTTCTTGATGAACGTCTGTTTATATACCACGGATACATTTTGTCAGTAGCACACGCTACAGGTTTAGGAATCTTAAGTCCGCTAGCTGGAATTTCGCAATGACCCAAATTCTCATTTTGTCGCCAGTCATCATTAACCATTATACAGATAGAGAATTCTACAAACCTAACTTCACACTCCCTTGACGAATGAAATACAAACAGTTTTCAAAGTGCACAGAGGATAAAGAATTTAGTTACTGAACAAGAGAGATAAATGGGTGATGGATGAATGAAGTAAGTCAGCTTCTCGTGAAGTGCATGAGTAGAATCTGACGTGTGCATTATACTGAATGTACCAGATGTCTAGTGATCACACATTTTTCCTTACTAAATATGCAATTAGTTTCATAATAAGATTTATTCCTCAAAATGAGAATAGAATTTGGACACTGTCATAGGATGTAAGTCCGTTATTCAGTAAGATTTCTTAATAAAAATGTGGTGACAGCTGTCTGCTAGCCAAAAGTGGTAGACAGTAATTTACGTCAGTGTTTACGTCCCATTTCTCGGTCATGAGAAAAAACAAGAACAAAGACTAACTCAACAAACAGTCACAGCAGACTTAGCGTGGGCGGATACGGTTCGCAGATATATGGTCTGACCTTCAAAGAAATGGCGGCAAAGAGATGACAGACTAACTTTCAGCAAGAAAACAACCAATTTGAAGACGCTGTTTCTCTGCTAATAATAACGAATAATAATGTACATAAAACTCTATAAATATCTGTTTTCTCAATAAACGATCTACTGTCTGACCCTTGTCTTCTGCCGCTACGAAGGCACACTGGTGACGTTTCTAACACAATTTAGTGATCATAATCAAACTGAGGTGCTTATTTAACTTTTAGATGTCGTTAACAGAGTTCCAATATTTCCTATCCTTTTATTTTATTAGTATTAATATTTTTTATATCTATACTATTGGTGCTATGTCAGTCCTACTGCATGTTTTTGGCGGCGTTCAAACCTAAAAGCTCACTCATTGCCAAACTCTGTAGACTAAAGGACCACCCTACTGACCTGATGAGACAAAATGTAATCTGCAAAATAATTTGCAATGACTGTTACTTCAAATACATAAATCAATCCAATAGATTGGCGTAGCGTCGTTATTGAACCATAAGGACTTTGCTGAACGCAGAATGATTGACCCTAGGAAGATAAATAGTTCAGACGAAAACTGAGCTATTTCAATGCATTAACACACGTCACACGATAACGAGGGACAGAGCTTAAATTGTAAAAAGTAATGTGATTAGGTGAAGAGGGATTGATTGCTGTATCTTTGTGCATCAAACCTACACCTAACACTTATTATAGGAACGACTCAGTACCTATACCCAAGATGTGGAAAATATTACTACCAATCAAATCAAAGGATAAAAAATAGTGGAATTCTATAAACCAAATGTGAAAGTAATGTGAGCACTCTGATTTGATCATGTACAATAAATTAGGTCACCAACAGTTTCCAACTATCGTTTCTTGGGGTTCCGAGGACTGCAACTAGGTAGTCTAAATCTACCTACGTCGCTCAATTCCTCATTCAAAGGTCTCGTGGATTGGTGTCATGACACGGCTGGACCACGCGGAATTCTTTTATAAACCGATGCCATATTCTAGAACATCGGTGAATGCAGAAGACAATGCAAGTATGGATAAGATTTGTGGCTCTCTGTGCTGGATGACTTAGTTGCGAAACTTTGATTGTCTTACTAGGCAGCATTCACAGAGCATAATTCAATTTGAATTAAAAAAACTCGCAACAACAACCAATCATACTTAAGGTTATCAGGAGAGATGACTAAAGAAGTGATGTAGAAATTTGAAGGCTCATTTCACACTGAAGTATGCGCTGCTAGCTGTCTTTGATCATAGGTGCCTGCGTTCTATCTCCAGTATGAAGCGGCATAATAAGGTGAGGAATATTGAGGTTAGGCGTCGAGTGCTAGGTAAAGAGGGGAAATCAACAGACGACACAGTGAAGTTATATCGACTGAGATGGTTAGGATATGTGTTACGCATACCTAGCCATCGCCTTCCTCGACGGACAATGTTAGCTGATATAGGGTCATGGCTTCATCAGTCACTGAAATCCACAACAGTTAGTTTAAGCCATGTAGGAAGGTGTAGACTTCCTGACTGGTTGGGGTCCTCGGGACAGTAAACACCAGTGGCTGGAGACAATCGGTGATATGGCTCAAAATCGTTTTCAATGGCTGACGCAGATGCATCCACGCCTTGTGACTTATAATTTCCAACATGACTATATTGTTTTTCGATATTCCTATTCCTTTTGTCTCATATACCTGTCTACTGTCTCTACTTTGCATTTCTTCTACTTTCTGCACTGGCTTTGTGTACTGAGTGAAGTGTGGCTACTTGAACTGCTGCACATCGGTGCAAAGTTCTATGTTGAAACCAGTCAGTCAGTCACAAGTATGCGCTGAGGATGTTGCCTAGTAAGGCAATAAAAGCTTCGCAGTTAAACCATCCATCTCAGAGAGCACAACTAAACGAAAAAGAAGCTGACAATCGTTCAGCATAAGTAATATGTATCCCAGCTGTCACAAATGGTGACGACTTGCAGCCGTATTGCTCTCAAAGCATTTTGTTTCTTACGGCTACAGCAGTAATGAATGAGTTGGTAAAAAGCATGTCCGGAGTAACTTTAACTTATTCATTTAACATTTCTTTTTCCCCTGAGGTATATTCGATAACAATTTAAAAAAAATGGCGGATTAATAAGGCAATTCTATTGATCACAATCCGACTATTACTTACTTGACTACAATTTCGTAAGGCCCTTTATTCTTTAATGTGATTGCATGTTTCACTTCTTCACCAACTTTGATTAAACCGAAATCAATCCCACCATCACTACCTATCCAGCAAATATGAGATTATAAAGAGAAGGGAAATGAAATATATTAAAGAAGGAAGTTAGTAATTCTGTCACTTGTACTGTTTTAGAATAACAATATTATTGCTATATTTTTATACGATCTTCGAATTCCGAATGCAAAATGGGGAATCAGCCGAACATTTCCCTCGCTCCTGTTTCTCTGCCACTACTGAAGTCAAGCCTTTCACTTCTTCGTCACATGATCTTCGCCATATCGCCGTTACAATCTCTGTCAAAGTTATCGATTTTCACTCGACGTCTACAAGAGAATCTGGTGTGTGATTTCACTCCAAGATCTCCTCAGTAAAAACGTATACGCGAGGAGCCGGTGGACTCAGTTAAACAAAATAATATAATTTACAAATACCTTGCAATGACTGTGAGTTAAGTCAACTACATAGGTCAAACTAGTAGATCAGGAGTAGTCAGATTACCTGTCAGAACATTAGAATTTTGCTAAGGTTAGAATGACTGACCCCGTAAAGATAAATAATTTAGAAAAAAGCTCAGCAATTGCACTGCATGCATTAACACACAACGACACAATAGAGTGGGAAAGGGTTAAGATTCTAAGAAGTAATACAGGTTGGTGGAGAGAGAGATTGATTATTGAATCCTAGTTTATTGAGTCTACACCCAACACATGCAACAGAAGTGACTCAACGCAAATACCAGAGATATGGAAGATATTATTACCATCAGTCAAATCGGAGAATAATAAATAATGTTAAAATGTATTCAATTCACATTATAACATTCTAACAAGTTATTTATTTATTTTACTATGAAAACATCTTATTTCCCATCTGATTGTATTTTATTGATAACACTAATATTATTATTTCTGAATGTACTTTATCTTATATTACTGATTTTATTCAGTCAAATGTCTAATCATCAACTTTTACTCACGTATATAAGTGAAGCGAAAAGTTGTGTGTGTGCCTTGATATGATTATGAGTAGCAATGATAGATTGTGCTCGAAATGTGGTTATCAGTAAATATTACTGTATAACACACTGTGTGATTTTATCAAAGTAAAATTTTATCCTTAATGGGGTTATACTCTACCACAGTGCCCATGTTTTATACTTATACGCGTGTGAGTTTTAGTAGATATACATCACTTCAGTAACGTTATCAAACTTTTCGAATTTGAAAATATTAATTTTTAAGAGGTTCTACGTTACTCAAATGAAAGTTTTCCATCTACCAGCTACGATGAAAGGCTTCACAGATCAAAATAGTCAGAAAGAAACTATTTGTTGTAAATGTCTGTTCACTTCGTCAGTGACTACGAAGGATACATCAGTTAACATGATGTGATGGCTTTTTACTGGATATTCGGCTGTCCCACCTTTGGAAGGACTAACACTGCCGGTTCGTGTCCGGCTTAGTTATCGTTCTCATATATCCAAACACAGTAGAAAAAGAGATTAAAACAGGAGTTGAGTAAACACCACATCACTAGTTGGTTAATAAGTATTGAAAGAGTTTGAATCAACTCTATCTAAATATACTAGCTTTATTTATATGTACTCCTCTAAACAGTTGGTCACGACAAGCATTTCCAACAGGTTACAGACTTTCATCAACAGCTGTCTCAGTTCCATATAGAGGATCAAATGGCAAGAAAGAATTAGCAGCAGAAAACTCTGAGAACCAAGGAACAAACAGCCTATTGCTCAACAAATATCCTGAAGAAAATGGAGGTAGATTGTACGCACACACGCACGCAATAAAAGCCATTGATCGAATGGAACCCGAATGGGAAAGGACGAGTGCAGCATAGGTCGAAGGGTGACATGGCGGAGATCGTGTGAAGAGGAGATGAGAGACTGTGAGCAGTCATAAGGTCAGCTAAAGAGCACCTGGGAGAATAGGACAAAGTGGAGACGTACTGTTGAAGCCCTACGCTCCACTGGGAGTTAGTAGGACTGGAGGTTCAGTGGTGTAATGCTCGCCAATCACACCAACAGACGCCTAAACCTATCCTCGTTTGCTAAGTGTTAGTAAGCAAGATAAAGAAGAAAGGTTAGGCATCAGGTGATCAACTCCTTCACTAGTGAATCTTTAAATGCTTTAAACCCCAAACTTCTACACAGAATGAAGAAAATTAATAAGCAGAGACGTAAAACACTAACCTTTAGGAAAGTTGATATCTAAAGCTACATCATAGGCTTCAGCAATCACTTGAATTGTCTCCACTTGTATTAAACCAGCAATATTTTCTAGATCATAAACTTCTAAGCGTAAATTTTTCTTCTGATTTGATTTCACTGGTTTCATAGCACGAAAATAAGCATAGACAATATATTCAGATTTTGGTTCAACAATACCAGCATCTTGTGAAATCGAGAATTCATCACCTAATGCTTCAATTCCAGATAGCTTCCATTGTGCTGGTAATAAAGTATTATTTTTTAAAACAATTGAACGAACTTCTTTTCTGTTTAAGGAGGATAATAATAATAATAGTAAAGACAAGTGTATATCAATGTATGTGTAAAACTTGGGCAATGTGGTAGAAAGCAATTCTATATTAGTTTGTTTATTAGATATATATATATATATTATATATATATAATATATATATATTATATATATATATTATATGTATATTATATATATTAGATATATATAGCTTTAGGTGTGACACCTATAATTCATTAAATAGTCAGTAGTACAACTGGATCTCGTCTTTCCAACCCACATCATCAATATGTACAACATTTTCTTTCTTTCTTTTCCTTTTCTCTCTCTCTCTCTCTTTTTCCGTTATGCGCTGCTTTGTTTCTTTCTTCTGCTTACGCCAGTATATATGGCAGCACCTACTTTTCCAACACCTTCGAACACTGTTCAACTTTGGCTTTGTTACCGACATGTCAATATGTTGTTGTCATAATGAACTGAGATTTCCTTAATCTATGTAAAATTCTATTTATTGATAATATACTAACTGGATGCAATACTCATTATAATGAAGGCTTTTGTATTTCCCAATGAATGAAAAACAAAACGATATTGTTTTTACTGACGCTTCGCTATTTAATGCTAATAGCTTTATCAAAGTATTATTAAACCGGAATTTACAAAATCTCAGCATATATATAACAAAGAGTTAAGGGGTGAGAAAATAGACTTAGGTCAAGTTAAAAGGACATACAGAAAGTTAAAATACCAATGATGGATGCTATACTGTAGTAAAAATGCTGAGAATTCCATTCTGTATAACAAGTACTGTTTTGGAATAAAGTAAATTATTATTATTTTTAGATTTCTTATTTTATTCGGGTCAACTAACTTAGATTTTGTTAGGTTTTTATGCTCAGCTAGTCTGACAGACTGTGTATCTGACCTGACAATCTTCCCAGCAGGCTATTAGGAATCACGGAAACCTTACGCAGAAGTCTTAACAAGGCAGGAATAAAAGTGGCTAGCACTCAAACCCACAAACTCAATTAGAAACAAGCTTTGTCGGTCAAAGGATCCTGTGAAGCCTTTAAAACAAAACAATTTAGTTTATCTAATAGCCTGCTGGAATGATTGTCACGTCAAATGCATAGGAAGACTGTCTTAATGGATTGCAACTTCAGTTAATAACCTGATCCTGTCTTTCGAATCGTACTTGCCTAGAAGTGAACGGTGAATACCCTAGCTAGGCAGTTAGTTAAATCACCTAAGAAAGTTAATAAATGTGTAGAACTTGGGCACTGTGGTAGTAAGTAATTCCATAGTAGTTTGTTTATAAGATGTATCACACAGTGAAACAGTAATGTTTACTAAATGACGTTTCGAACACAGTTTATTGCTGTTCATAATCATATCAATTATAATCGCACGACTTCGGAACTTGAGTTTTATAGTTACATGTAACAGGAATGATTCAACACCTGTCCCAGATATCCGGAAAATTCTGGTACCCCAAACGACGACAAATGGGAGAGGACAAAGAAAACTATAAAACTCAAGTTTCGAAGTCGTGTGATTATAATTGATATGATTATGAACAGCGATAAATTTTGTTCGAAACGTCATCCAGTAAATAATGCTGTTTCACTCACTGTGTGATGCATCTAATAAGCATCTAAGAAAATACTTGTACCAAAAATACGGTATGGAATCAAGCTATAATCAAAAATCAAAAATGAAAAAAAATAAACATAG